TATCATGCTTTCTTTCTTTAAAAATAATGGTTTTTTTTTGGTTTGTTTATTGGTCGAAGATAGTTGATATTTGTTTTAGTTTAGAATAATTTCATAGATCAGATAATTTTATTCAACAAAAGATTTGTTCTATATGTCAGATTTATTATATAATCGTTTATTATTAAATTTTATTAATGTTAAAAATCGACTTGAATCTTTATTAAATTTATATTGTATTAATGAATATCGATTAGATATAAAAGAACTTCAAATATCTATAGGATTTGTATCAAATTTAATTGATAAGGTTCAATATGAATTACAACTAACTGATAATTTGAAACCATTTTCAAATCATTCTTTATGTAACAATAATTGGACATGGAAAAAAATTCAACAATTAGATATGAAAGAACAATGTTTAAATTTAGAATTTCTCGCTTTATTACGTTTACAAACATTAGCTACATGTTTTGATGAATTTGATGAACAAAAGTTTCTTAAACAAACAACAAATTTTAATATCAATAGACAATATCATTTGAATAAAATGATGAAATTTATTGACGAGGTGAATAAATCATTGTTTTTTCAAAGCAAAAAAAAAAGAAGAACGAAGGAAAACATCTCAAGTTTATAGTACCATTTTTATTAGTATTCCATCTATAGATCGAAGACATTGAACTATTATAGAAGGACTAAGAAGAGAGGGCTGCACAAATTTACTCTGATGCAAATATTACTCTCATAAATTCAGAATTTGAGAATTCTTTTCATCAAAGCCGTCCATTCAGTCACAGTCAAGATCTCTTTCAACAACGTTCATAAACCACGAATAGAGATCAACGGGATCAAACTTTTTAGCCCCGAGAACCGAATTTTTTTATTTCTCCCCGGTTCCGATCTCGAAAAGCCCTGATTTTTTTCTCATAAAAAACTGATATCCAATATGCACAGCATTGTATTGACGGAGAAATGTAGACAAGTCTTGATTCTCTTCGTTTGTGTATAAAACGAAAGGATGATTTTAAAGTTGTTAACACGAAAAGAACCCAAGGATGCTTATAAAAAAAACGAGATGATTCTATTAAATGTGTGGGTGCCAGTGGGTGCTAGTGAGCATCTCTGTGGGTTTTAGCGTCAATGGGATGTGCGATGGGTCTTCTGTACACCCATATGCACATGTCGTCGACTCACAGTACTCACATCCTCTTTTTCTGAGTTTGCTTTCTTTTGTTAGTGAAGCTTTGAATTCTGATGATCAGATATTTTTGTTTTTCTTTGTTCATTTTTTTGCTCTTTAATTAACTGTAAAAATAAATAAGTTTCTGTTATAGAAAAACATAAACCATTTTTCGGAAAATATCCTAAATTCTTGGCTCCCGACTTAACCTCGGCAGGGTCGGAGACCGAAGTCAGAGTGTCCCTGCTGAGTTCTAGCCACGAACTCTAATTAACATATATATCTTCACGCATTGTTGGATGACAAATACAAAATACGCGTAACCAAGCCCTGATATTCCCGCCTTGTGCTATCAATACTGTTATGCAATGTGAAGTACTCTCATTATCCCCTATATGAGATCCTAGAATCTAGAATTGCAGAATTACTACTCTGTATTCTCATCACTATGTATTAGGTGCGGGTGTGAATGTAGGTGAAGAGAAGACCACCACCTACACTCACACCCTTTTTCTTTAGTTGCAGCTGAATTATTTTTTAAAAAATTGAGCATGACGGAATTTCATCAATAATACAGATGATTTGTGAGCGTATTATCTTGTTTTGTAGACATATAATATTTGTATGAAGATCATATGTTGAAAGAGTACTACATATTCTATTAATTAACATCTGATTGGAGATTTTTTTTTCTACTAATTCACATTTAGTTAAAGATGTATTCCATTACCATCGATTACATAAACTTTCGAGTTGACTATTCTAAAAAAGATTTCAAATGTCTGAAACATTCAAGGTTCTTCAGGAATAGAAACATTCCTATTTCACAAACCATCGATCGTGCTCGTTCCAATGGTAGATTCAACTTTTTTTACTCTTGCGTTTGAACTCGTTACTCATTTGTGGGTGACCGATAACTGATCACCACACATAACAAATAGCTTTGAAAATTTTCGTTTTGTTTATCCTCTGTGAATTAATTGAATATTTAGACCAAATCAACAATTGCATGTGATCATATGCATATCAATAAATCATCATCGTCATCATCATCATTTATTCCACAATATGATCTGAACAAAAATCTTCTTGATCTTCCACAAGAAATTCTTCTTCGTATATTTTCTTTTATTTGTCCATGTGAACTCATTAGTAACATAGCTCCGACATGTCGATTATTTGCCAACTTAATTCTTACATGTTTTTATTCTCATCTTGATTTATCGCCACTAATATCTATATATGATGTTCCTCGTTTATTTAATCATTTATCATGTCTTCAATCAATAAGATTTATTGATTGGAAGGATAATATAAGTATTTTAACATGGTCTATATGGTTTGATATACTTTCTCGAAAAACATCGAATCTTAAAAAAATACATTTTCAAAATATTTTTATATCTCCAATATTAATTTGTCTTTTAATTGAATATTTTCCTCATTGTTTAGAAACACTTATATTTGATTATCAACAAAATAATAATTATTATAGAAATTTTGATTTAATTTTATGTTTACTTGGAGATAAAAATATAAAATTAAAAAATTTAACAGCTTCATATCAATTAGGAATTACAAATTTTGGTATTTTACAACTTGTTAAGAATCTCAATACATTAGTTGAACTTAATTTAGTTAATATTAATACAATTAATGATCAGTAAGAAGATCATTTTTTTGCTTAAAATAGAAAAAAAAGATATTTATTTTATTTTCATAGATCGATCAAAGTTTTATGTGATAAACATAATGTTTATTTAGAAATTCTGAGAATTGATGGTGCACAATTAACAGATAAAGCTTTAGATTATATTGCACAATGTCATCGATTACGAAAGATTATGATTGAATTTTGTATAAATATGACCGGTTCGAATTTTTCTATATTTCAAGTAAGATTTTATAATTCAAAAACAATAGAATTATTTAAATTCTTTAAAATTAAATAGAATTTTCCTAAACTGGAAGAATTATATTTATCAGCATTAAATAATATTTCATCGGAATCATTTCAATTATTATTTAATAAAAATTATACTTTTAAATATTTACAATGTTTGAAATTAGATGAATATCATATGATTGATGATAATTGTATTCGATTAATTGTTCAAAGGTAAAAATAACGAATGGGTCATAATGAATTGAACTAATTGTATTTGCAATGTTTCAAATCATTTACTATTCATTCATATTTCAAAAGATAGAGAATTTGAAGCTCTACAAAATTTTGTACTTCATCTTTACAAGAACTATTTCTTTTTAATTTCAAGACAATTACTGTATATCCTTACTGTAGAACTAAAAACAAACAAAAAAAAGTTTGACATCATTATTGAGAAATTCATTCAAACACGTTTATCATCGAGTCAAATCGATAACATATTATATATTCGTTCATACGAGAACAGGCAATAAAAAGAAAACTTATCCTTTCTCGATGTCCATCTATTTATATTGATTATATTTTGAATTCTGTATCTTTATGTTTGTATTATTATTATTTTATTCACCTTATGGATGTGAAGGTTTTCTTTTTTTATTGTGTAAATAATATTTGTGTGAACAATGCGTTTATGATATTTGACATCGTACTTCATCTATAGACAAGTTTTTATTCTTGTCAAAAATGCAATGAAAAGATCATTATGTAGGTCGGACGCAGAAGGATCCATTGTCCTACTCGGATGAACTTTTTGATGCTCTGCACCCTGCAAACCAGGATAACGGAGTGATAATGTCATACAGAATGCAGGACACGACGAAGCAAATTATCCTGTGACGTTCTCCGTTAGAGAACGAAACTCTGCATTCTTGTGGTATCCAAAAAACGGATTTTGCAATTGAATTTTAACTCAAAAAAAAAAACTTCATTTTTCAAAAAATCACTATGAAGAATATTTTCAACTTTTCAGTAAAACTGTGGATATCCGAAAGTTGATCTACTAAATAGAGGACAAAATTCTCTATTTTTAGATATTAAATTCTTTGCTTTCAAGATCCTTCATACTTTTTGCAAAGCACGAGCAACGATGCATCGCAGTGAGCATATATAGGATAAATAAATGTTTGCATTGTGATGCAAAGGCAAAATGTTCTTTTTAAAAGTGAAATTCTTTGTTTTGTAAAGTTTGAAATTGTCTATATTTTAATATATAAATGAATATTTTGTATGAATTTAAATGAAAGAAAAATTACATTTACAATTAGTTTGATTCATTATGGTTCATTCGTTATTTATGTATTCATTTTTTTTTAAATATTTATTTTCTAGTTGTCCTCATTTAATTGATTTGACTTGTTCATTAGCATATAATGTTACTGATGAAGGTTTTAATGAAATTGTTATTCGATGTAATCAACTTCAATACCTAACATTAACAGGGTGTAATCAAATTTATGGTGAAATATTATTTGATGTACCAGAGAAATATTTAAAATCAATAAAATATCTTAATTTTGATAAATGTAATCAAATAGAAGATTTTATTTTAATTGATTTGTTTCAAAGAACAAAATTCATATTGATTATTGATTCTTATGGATCCTTAATTAAGCTTTAGAAACAAAGGTTTTTTTTTTGTATTTCTATCAATTGTCATTTAATAAATGTTCAATCATCATTATGAAGGAAAAAAAAAAGTAGCCTTGCCTTAGCTTTTCTAATAATTGCAATTCTAAGGTCATTTGTATATGTAAATGTTCACTGGCGTCACGCACGAGTGATAATTATGTATCGTGCCATATATATCAAAATAGGAAAAATGATACTTATGTTCAATTAATTGAATGTATTCATATACGTAGATATATATTGGAACATGAACTAAATATGAATATGTGGTCTAATGATACTCAATTCAATAGTGATGCAATGTTTATCCAACAAAAAACAATACCGTTATCAAATAAAAATTTACAAGATAATTCTGATAATGATTCTCTTACGGATGTATCAAGTATTATTGAAATAGAATCATCATTTATAAATTATGATCAAGCATCAAAATATAATAATGCATCAATTGAACGTAAACAAACAATACATAGCAACACTGCAATACATGATCCATATGTACCTGATGATGAATTATTTCAATCATTAGTTGATTATGCAAATAGTTTTAGTTTAGACGAAACTTTTTATTCAATAGTAGATGTAAAAAAACAGTTAAATCCTATCAATTCAATTAAACAATCATCAACAAAACAACGAACTCAATCATCAACAAGTCATGTAACATCATTCATTGAAAATGATAGATTAAGACAACATAAAAATTATGAAGATCTAAGACATGACGCTCAATCAAAAATAATAAACCAACTAGATTCAACTAAATCAATACCTTCTCATTTTTTTTCTTTGCAAACAACCAAAGATGATGATGATGATGATGATGATAATAATGATAAACATAGTGATGATAATACAACAGTTACAGATGGATCAAAATTCGATTGGGAATATTGCTCTGATTCAATAGAACATTCAAATAAATCATCAACAAATTTATTTCAAAATTATCAAGTAACAACTAATATTAATGACATAAAATCAAATTATTTACAAGATTTTCAAGAATTATCTTCAGCTAGTTTTGCAAATAATAAATCATGTTCACCAATTATTATTCGTGTGAAAATTAAAAATCCTACTATTCAAAAAAATAAAGACAATCAATTCTTGCGTCCACATACTTCATTACTACAATCGACTCCAATTATCGTTCAAGAAATTTTTCATAAATCTTCTCCATCTAATCGATCAATTTCAAAACATGATTTACAAACATTATCAACTCCTTCCAATGATTTTTATTCACCATCAAAATCATTTATCAATCCAAAACGTAAAATAATCGATGAACCAATACCACTAAGACGACATAAACATTATGCTAATGAACAACCAAAAAAGATTATTATTGAATATGATCAAATTAATGTTACTGTTAATAAAAATATCAAACAACGAAAAGAAATAAAACGTGTTAATCCAAATCAATATATTCAACAGTATGGAAATTCATTATGTTCAAATGAAGTCTTTCGAAATCTACTAACAAATATTATATCATAAAACTATTCATCTGATAAAATGACTTTTATATCAAAACAAAAAGACATATTTTTCTTATTATAATTATCTTCAATAAATTATATAAACATATGAATTACATTTATTTTATTAGAAAAATTAGTCAAGAATTACAATTGTTTGTTTCATTTAGTGTTGAAAAAAAAAGTTTAGATCAAAGACAAAAAAAATAATCAATACATAATCATATATTAAAGAATAAGAAACATAAATTGACGTTGTTTTTTTATCAATAAGAAAAGACACTTTAAAAGAATAAAAGTCAACGTGAATTTGATATCAATCTGTCTAAATTTGATTATTTACCAGACGTATCGATTTAAAGCAATAGAGGATATTAGATTTATTGAATCTGATAAATTAAAAAATGCTCAAAAGATAAAATAACAGTTAAAGAATACTTGAAGGAGTCAAACTTGCAGAGAATATACTTACGTCCGCCTATTATTTCGTTGCAGTCAAGATACGAAGTTCATGCACAAATGACATGATTGATTTCCTATTAGAGAACAATCCAACTACTCTTTGTTTAAGTCTTTTCACCTTTCACTACATCTCTTCTTCGACATGAATATGTCCTATATTATGTTTTATTTTACTTTGTTATGTCCTTCAAATCTCGACAGTATTAGAGCATGTCGTCTATTAGTATAATTGTTTAGATTAACCATTGTTTTGTAATTCCCAATATGCATAACGAACTATTTGCCACAAGTCACGACGGAACTGTCCTAGGCAAATGTAATAGGTTATGAAACTTCGTTATCCTGTTGATCCTCATTCTTACACCCAACTTTTAACCTTCCTCTCGATGGTTTCATCATGATTTGAGGCAACTAGTGCTAAAGCCCTCGACACATTAGAAGACCCTCTCTGAAAATCGAGCTTTTAAAAATAATTTCTCCAACGTATTGATTTTATTTTAGTATTTATGCCCATAATAATCTCGAAGTTCACTATAGGCAATCTGTCATTTCCGTCATCATAGCGATGTGTCAGTTTCGAATTGGAAAAATCTTGAGAAACAACTAATAGAAAAGAACAGTCTATTGAAAAATGCATTCTTTTATCGAAAAAATATTTTGGAGTCGCATGAAAGCTTTTTTGCAGTATACCCTACAAAAGTTTCTTAGATTCTGTGTACGAAATAAAAGGTTCCGTGATCATAGAACCTAACTGATGCAGTGCACATTCCCATATATTACACATGAAGCGATCTTTCTAAAATAGGAACATATTCGATACAACTCCGTTGCATATTAATTAAAAGGCTTCTTCGCCATTATACATTATTCGTGTAATTCAAAAACATTTTTATCTCAAAATAGTGCATTCATAATTGAAAAAAATACCTTCAGATAGACATGGTGAGATTTTTTAAAGAAGTACTTCTTCTAAGCCAGAAAACGCATTTCTTTTCGCAGACAAGATCTATAGATATTTTTCGAAACAGACACAAAAAAAAACAATGAATATGTATTCAACTGTTGGTTTTTTTGCAAACAACCGTATTTATTCAAGTTAGCTGGGGACTAATAGTTATGCTACTGGTACATTTCACTGTGAACGAATTTTGTCTGCACTACTCAAACCTCAACATAAACAATTGACGTAAGTCTTAAGTTTGGTTGACTGTATTATTCTAAGAACACTCTTCATAGCAAGTATTATCTGTCTTTTTTTTGCTGAATATTATCTATTTCTTTCTCAATTTTACACGTGTGGAATAAGTGAACGAAACTCGTTTACTAATAATGTTTTGGACAAAAATGAATTGAAAATAAGAATTGTCGGTGAGACTATCAAAAAATATTACCTATTTTTAGGGACTTAATAAAAGATTCTGGGTCGTCTAATGTGTGTCAAAGGCTTTATTTTATAACAAAAATGAATAAAATCTAATATGAAAACTTTTAAACCATCATTCCGTTATGATAAATCGTTTCCGAAATGGTCAAGTATCAAGACTATAAGTATTATTCGATGATTGATGGAACTATTATCCATTTGAAAAAAAGAATGGACTCGGTTGTTTGTTGAATGACTCGGCAACATTGATAACTATCGAGTTCGGAGTTTCGCCGTTAGAAAGAGCGTGAGTCGGAGCACAAGTCTACCTAAGAATCAAAAATATTGGAAAAGTTTTCTAGGGAATTCTAGGAATTTTTTGGAAAATCATTATCGATTTGTTTGATTAGCTGTATTTGCAAGTGAAACTGAAAATCCAATATTTCGAGAAAGGAATGTTCATTTTGGCTAAAGCTTTTAGGATATTTTATTGAATATTCGAGCTATCTATGGGCAAATCTTCAGGTCAAAATTCCGTAATTTCATTTTCCGATAAATATCTAGGAAAAGGTCAAAAATTCAGTAAAAATAGTCATTATTTTTAAGGAAAGGTCGAAGACACCTAAAAATTTCAGGGTTTATAAAGTAGACACTGAACTGCAATATAGCTATATTGAAATTGAAAATACAGCTAATCAAGTGAATCAGACAGTGATTTTTCAAAAAAATCCCTGGAATCCTCTAGAAAACTTTCTCAGTATTTTGACTCTCAGGTAGACCAGTACCGCCACTCATGCTCTTTCTAACGGCGAAAATTCGAGCTCGATAGCTACCAGTGTTGCCAAGTTCTTCAACACACAACCGAGTCCATTCTTTTTTGAAACGGACAATAGTTTATTTTTTACATAATGTTAGTTTGAGTGTGTAGTAGCCTTGTTTATCTCTTCGTTTTTTTTTAAATCTATATTTTAAAAACAATTATTTATTTTATTTTGACGATAGAGTAAGTTTTTATTTTAGCGGCAGATTCTAAACCTCTCGAAGGCACCATCTTGTAAGGAACTACTGACACAAGCACCGATCTAATATAACAAAAATAAATAAGTTTTTGTAAAAGTTTGTTTCTGAACTTTCATCTATATTAATTTGATGAGAGTTTTCTTTATATTGTTTATCTTCACCTGAATATATATCGACAATAAAAATAAAAAATAGAAGCAAAAGAACAAAGACAAAAAAAAGAGAAAAGTTTTCATACAAAAATAAACATATGAAATGAAATCAATAAAACAACCACAAAACAAAAATATACTGTCATTTATTGTTTATTATTTATTATTTTTGAATTTAATGGTATATCAACATCAATCCAATGTAATAAACCTTGATGTGTAGAAACAACAATTGCCATTTTATCTACTGTCCAATGATAATCAAGAAATGATGATGAGATTTTATCAAAAGATTCAACTTGTCTCATCTAAGTGATATTTTGTTTTAAATAAATAAAAATTAAATATGAAAAACTTACAGTTAAAAAACGAAAATCATAAATTTTTATTTTTGCCAAACGTGTATCATAAACTGAAATTAAATGATTCGGTGATGCTAAACTACATTTTAATTTTTCTGATTGTCCAACTGTATCTAATATTTCATTTCGAATTGGTTCACTAAATAATTAAAAAAAAATTAATTAAATGAAATTCATTATCGATTTACATACCGACTTGCTCGTTTATCCCAAATAAGTATTTGTTGTCGATGTCGACCAATAATAATATCATTTGTTTTCCATGTACAATCAGCTAAATGTTCTTTTCCATTACAATTTAATGTTAATCCAATTGTTTTATGTTCAAAATCAAAAATATTTAATCGATTTTGATGAGCAAGAAGAAGCTAAAAATAAAATCATTATTAAATAAAAATTTTTAAAAAAATTAAGATTAACTATTTCATATATACAAGATTAGATTCAATTGGATTCCATTTTAATTGATGAAGAACTCCATGATTAGAAAATGTAAATTGATAAGATAAATTATATTGTGATGCATGATAAATTTTTACTGTTCCATTTAAATGACTAATGGCAATTTGATCAAAGTTTTCATTATAATCAATTGATGATGGTGTTAAACGTATTGTTTCATCAAGCCACTTGAAAGACAAAAGAAATTAAGAAAAAAAAAAAACTAAAAATAATAATAGTTGATTTACTTTTAAATTTTGTATAGTAGAATTATCATTTTCATTCTTATAAATTAATGAAGCTTGTTGATTTCGATTTAATGTTGGTAAAGTTGTTAAACCAATTCTAAATGAAATAATAATTAACGGTTGGAAGTAAAATAATCAAAACTAGAAAAATATTTAAAAAAGTAGTTATATCACCAGGATGAGTGTAAGTGAATAGACGATTGGAACTCAGACCCATATCCTGAAAACATTGAGTTTGAATCAAAAGTTTGAGAGTTTTCGAATATACAGGTTCAACATTTCTCTAGGACATCTAGTTTAAAAGTTATGAATCAACCTTTTAGATTACTGCATACGTTATATCATCGATTTCTTTTTACATAGAATCAAAGGCGAGATTGCTTTCTACAAAGCTATATAAAAATCAAGAGTTTCAGAACAATCCGTTAGGAGTGACCAAGCTCACATTCCAAAGTGTGTTTTCGATATAAACTGAGAAAATTGTCTTAATTGACACAGTGTACCTTACCCGAAATACTCACTATTGTCAAATGACTTACAGCACAACTAATCATCAGTATACCATGTCATAGAGAAATATTGGCTCTTTCACTCGAAATAATTTTCGCTTCTATTTTACATATGTTTTGACGTGCTGAAGCTCGTCTAAACTTAATTTACAGGTCTCGAGAAAGTCAGTTCCTAAATTTTAAACGAAAACTCCTACAAAAATTTTGAAATCATATTCGGAAAGAGCACAAAATTCTGATTCTCAATCAATGTTTTCAAGTTTGTGCAGGCTATTTTAAGAGACTGACAAATGAATGAACATTGTGTCAAATTACTTTTTGATAACATGTTAATAAAAAAAAACACATATTGTTTTCTATGAATCATACTTAATCTGTTTTCGAGATGGCCGATAGACAGTATTTGAAAGCCAGCATAAATGATTTATTTGAAAACCAAGATAATTTGTATCAACTAATTCG